CTTTAATTACTTTAAAGTATGACCTTGACCTAGGAAGTAGGGGTTTGGGTGTTGCACATGATACATTGTCTTATTATAAAAAAAAACATGTGTGCCAAGTTATTTCGAACTCCTTTGATGAATGGCTTTAAGTTGTGAACTAGACATGAAGGTGTGACAGACAGAGCCCATTTCTATATCCCCCTTTTTTCTTCAAAATGGTAGGGGACAAAAAGAGAGCAAAACCAACAGTATAGCAAGTAGTGTTGTCTTGCTTAATTCTGGTAGCAAAGGCTGATTACTATTTCATTTCCAGCAGGTCAAGTGGTTACGATAAATCTGTTATCAGCAGACTGCACTTTAACTGTAGCAGTGAATTAATACTTAAAGTGACATAAAATGAAAACATTTTGACATTATCATTCCATTTTTTTTATTTCAAATTTATCTCCAAAATCTTCAATATGACAAAAGCAAAGAATTGAACAAATAAGAATGCAGAAACTATTTACAAGACCTGTTTTATTCCCTATCATGTTCTATACATTATTTGTACAAATGTTCTAAGAATCACATAAAAACAAACATTTTTGAATTTTAACAAAAACCCCAAAAACATGGCAACAATTTTACAGGTATGAAATAAACGTAATGTCTCTCACATTACAGTGTGTGAAAGTTAATGCTGAATGCTAGTTCTGAAATTTTGCACATAAGTCATCTGGACCTACATCAAATTGAACATTTGAATAAATCGATACGATCTAGAAAAACATAATATTCCATGCAATCATGTCATGTCACAAAAACCTCAGTGGAGTCCCTTTAAAGGCCGTTTGCATAACATAAAATATTTAATTTCATTGGTATTTTCTAAGATACAATATAAATAGACAGTTTAAGTAGAAAAATACATGAAATCATTTTGTAACTGGTAGATACACTTAATAAACCATAACATGTTGGATTGTCTTTGACAATTAAATTTAACAAACATAAGACAAGTCAACCTGTATGTAAGACCTCCTCCAGATACAGACCACCCTATAAATAAAGAAAAACAAACTTCCATTGATTAAATAGAACAGTTACCTCCTAATGATGGCCACTTGCCTATAAAAGCCATGTTCAGCCCCTCCTTTGGATGGCCAGTATTCACAGGTTTGAATGAGTGAACTATATATCAAAATACATTGATTGATTCAAGTTGATCAGGAAGTTGTATTTGAGTAGATTTTGATAGGAGAGTGATCCTTTCTAGTAAAAAGATGTGTGGAAATAGGTAAAAACTTTCGTATGTTATTTCATCATAAAGGACATGTCTATTTTTTGAAGTAAAAGGTAAATGGAATGGTTGACTCCTGAAATTATTAAACCATGTCATATAAATACTTCATAATTACAGAATGTTGCTGTAATAGCCTCACAATTTAAATCACTTACTGTAACAAAATATTTAAATGCACCAAGACACAATTTTTTTCGAGGGTGCATTTCTTCCCAAAAAATTCTATGAATATGATCGAATGCTTATTTAATTTATTTTTTCAATGCTTTTTGTTTGATTTTTTTTTAACTTTTTGAACTTTTTGGAGTTTTTTTAAATTTTTAATCATTTTTTTTTCATGAAGTGTTTTCATTTGTTCATATACAAATTAAACTATTTTTTCTCTGCCGAATCTTTTTGGGTTTTTTCATATTGTCTCCAAATACTATCTGTATATCACTAATTGAAATACTTTGGTTAATCACTAGTAGTTTACCTATGTTAATCTTTTCATGGACTGTGCTTCTATTTTAACACATGACGAAAGTTCTGTTTATCGTGCTCGGACTATAGTAAAAAGATAATGTGTGGAAAAAGGGTAAAACATGGTATCAAAGTGACACATCAGCAATGTACATGCATCTCAATTTTTACTTTGCAGAGAAAAAAAATGTGAATGTTGATTTTTGTTCCACCTAGACTGTTATAGCCTTGAAATTATCAAGTAAATGCCATGTCATATAAATATACTTCAATAATTAAGAGGGATGTTTCTTGATAAATGAGCCTGATATTACAACATAATTTAGTCATCTTTATCCCTGTAACATATAATATCTGTGAAACATGCAACCAATCTGACAAATTACAAATAGAAAACTCTTAATCTGACTGGGCATGCAATATGTTCCCCTAACAAAGTAAAATCTGATAAATACTATGATCAATGCTTATTTGGATTTTTTTTAGATGGCTTAATTGCCTGTTCAGATTTTTTTTAACTGTTTTGAATGCTTTTTTTGGATTTCTTTCCAAATTGGTTTGAATGCTTGTTTGGACTTTTTGTTAATTGCATTGAATGCTTGTTTTCATTTGTTCTTTTCCAATTAACCTGTATGCTTGTTTGGATTTTTTCCTCAATTGACCTGAATGCTTGTTTGGATTTTTTCTCTCTCTCAATTGGCTTAAATGCTTGTTTGGATTTTCCCCCAATTGGCTTGAATGCTTGTTTGGATTTTTTACCAATGGCTAATAGAGCTAAAGTTTTTGCAGCCTCGTTTTTATGATATCAAGTACATCATACATGTTTTCCAAAGAACAATGTAATTGACAACACAATAAAATGACATTCCCTGTTAGTAAAGTCAAATTAATACTGTTTGAAGATGACAAAAATAGATAGGTAATTATGTGACTAATGGTATTCATGAGACCGACATTTTCATCACTTTCAATAGTTTCTAGACACATAGAGAGATCTATAAATAGAATCACCAGATAATTGCATTCCAGTCCAGTAAAACAGCAATAAAATGTCATGGGATTCCTTAGGTAATTATCTCGCTATAAAACCTTACAATTACCTTTCCAATTTAGAAAAAAAATATATATACATAGTATATATAGTTTATCATTAATCTAGATCTAAGTACATGAAGAAAGCATCATATTCCAGAATAAATACTGGATTTGATCTTTGAAAACTAAAACATTTTTTACTCAGATGTTACTTAAAAAATCATATCATACATGTATTTGAAGACAATACGTACATACAATGGGTTTTTAAAAAATGCTGAAAGATTTTTCCATTTTTTTCACCAGCAGGCTAGTGAAATTAGACTTAAAACATTATCTGATACTGTTATTATCTAACAAAATTTAATAAGAATCAAATAAGAATGGCGACCAACCAATTATGACCAATAGAGCACTGGCTAATCTATATTGTTCACCCCAGGTGATATAATAATGAGGAAATACACATAAACCACATGCCGAAGAAGTTTATTAATTCTGAGAGCTCTATACTGAGTTAATCATACAATCACAACTTTTTGTCTCTTTAGATCAATCTCCAGACCTCAAACACAATTGTTGAAATATACAGAATGGATATTGTATATGATGGAACAATAGCAAGTAATTATGCTGGAAGTTATTGACTAAGTTTACTTCATTATAATTTGTGTGAAAATTCTAAAAAAAAAGATCAATTTATAGTTAAAAGAAGAAAGTATGTAATAATTTTTGTAATTTTTATTAATATCTTTGTATAAACAGAAAGTACAAATGTTTATCTGTTGAAGATACTTCAAATTTGGTTGTAAAGGACATTCTTTGACTAAAACTTTACTTTGATTGACTCACACATATTTTTCTAATCATAATTTTACCAAAATTGACTGCTTTCAGTTGAATGTCTAATAAATACATTTGTTATTCATTTTCCAAAGATAACAATATCCTCTGTTATTGTCAACATCTAAAATCACAAAGAAGAACTGTATACATTCAATATGTATAAACACCAAACTCATCAAGATATAACGATTGTTAAGACAAACACCATTGTCAAAATCACATCATGATAAAATATTCATCAAGTTACAGAATGATACTGTCAACCATGTTTAAATCTTTATCCAATTAGGTGTCTCATCACATAATTATTTTCCAATCAATAGTGTCATCACATATGGTGATAATTTTGACCAGTTAAGAGGAGTGTTTTCACATAATAATACACTGGTATTTCTATCCAATTAGGGGTATCACATAGTATTATGCTGACATTTCTATCCAATCAGGAATGTTATTGTATATGCTTAAATTTCTATTCAATCACCACCATGGTCAATTATTATAAATCCAATCATGACTGTTGTTAGCCTGTAACTTATGTGAATATTTATGAAGTCATCAGAATGGTAACTTCTTTTGGCATAATTTTGTTGATAACATAACATATCACAACATACATGTATTTTGGACAATTAGATCTAGATTGAATATTGGAAATATTATCCAAACAGGCAGGCAGAAAATTTCAACAAACACAGTTTGTTGTATTTTTTTACCAAACATTTATTCCTCAAAAAATAAAAGTTCATGGGGGTAAAAATCAACAAAATTTCTGAATTGTCCTCTGTTGAATGCAGCAGATATCACTATGTTTTACAAGAGCCTGGTTGCCCAGTGTGGGCCACATATGACTTTTTCTTCTATCTAAAGGCAAACACATTGGAGAGAGGTACATTATATAGAAGGGTTCTCTAATAAAATAAGAAAACATCATTTGCTTGTACAAATTTCATTTAAATTTCATACTTGACCTTGGCAGTCAAGGTCATTTACAGATAATTATCGTACTTAATTCTTCAACATAACAGCATTGTGATAAGTGTTGTTTTGTCTAAGCAGTAAAAATTATATATAATTATGTCTATTGATAACAAAGTTACCAAAATTGACACACTTGACCATGTCTATCATGGTCCATTTGAGGTCAAAGTCATACTTAATTCAACATGTAAGTTTTGCAATAAGCATTGTTTTGTCCAAGTATGAATCTGCACATTTGCGTAGAATAACTAATCTGAAAAAAATATCATGAACAAATTTTTTTCATATAACAAACTGCATAACTATATTATCGTTTGCTCTACTAATGACATTGTACTTCTGTTCCATTAGGAAAAATGATGTAAAAATAAAGTAATTTAATCAATGCACTGAAGAGATTCAAGCACTATAAGTACAAGAATCAGACAAAAACTGACATCTTGTCAAACATACCATAAGCTAAAACACAAAGATACACCACAGATCAAATCCATATTTGTACACATGTCACAAATAAATAAAATATAGCAACCAATCAAAAATTGTCTTGCATCACACAAAAATTCAAATTGACTAATCAGCATCAGTGTTATTATCACATGTTATGTAACAACCAATCAGCAATTTCAATAGTCAGTAATACAACTACAGCTGACTAGCCAATCATCTATTGCCATAGAATGTCACATGACTATCACATGATGTATGAGGAATATTTTAGCTACTGCTAGGAGCCCTGACTGGATGAGGGATTCTGGGTATTCTGGGAAGGATCTCCACCTTTGCTTCCATCTGTAAAAAATCAGAAAGAGAGAAATATCAGTCATGATAAACTTCACTACGATTTTTTTCAACATGGACAAATTTGACCAATGTTTAGCTCCATTTAAGTCTGTTGAAGGAGCTAAGTTCCACTGAAGTCAAAAAACCTAAAAACATAAAATTTTAAATACTAACATAGACCAAAATTAATGAAGAACTAAAAAAGGAAAAATCTGGAGAGGATAATTAAGAAAATTATACTCATAATTAAATTGAGTATCATATTTTGTGCAACTCTTGTTGTTGTTGTTTTTTGGTCATTTTGCACAATTTAAAGGTATATTTGGCCCATATTTCATATTTCAAAAAATACACAAATGCAGCATAATCGTAAAGTAAATGTCAGATAAACATGTTTTGAGTACATACTGAGTTGATGTAATGTGTTTAAACCTCTACACACGATAGGTATACACAGTATAAATACATAGTGTCATTAAAAAAACTGGCAGTTTTTTTAAAAATTTGCTAATATGAAATGGCCTGTAATTTTGAATGCTGCTTTCAATATAGACCGGATTTGTTTCATTAGTTAAGTTAGACATATTCCAGGAGAATTTTCTATATTTCATTAAATTTCTGAGACAAAAATATTTTATCAAAAAATGGGCATAGTACATCTTTAAATAATTATTAAAAATAGGGTGACCTGAAAATTCACACTCAAATTATTGGAAAAGACCTACATCAAATGATGTAAATCTATGAAAATTACCACAAAATAGGTCAGAATCTGTAAAAATAGCCCTTACTGCATGACAAAAATATGATGATAATAGTGCAAAAATTTGTCCTTAATTGCATAATACATAAATAATTATTTCTTGAATTGTGAATATTTTTTACTTTTCTTGAAATCTTAATACAATGATCTACAGGTTGATTTTCTTGAAATATTTTGGCTCATCTGGAGGCATGCAGCTTTAAATTTGGCTCCTAGCTCCCTTGTTTTCTTTTCAAGTGCCATAAACAATCACTTTTGTGATTCAAATACTGTAATTTACATTACCTGAGCAATTAAGTTTCTCCATTCCTTCAGCTAGACCCCCTGTGCCAACTCCTGCCCTATCTGAGTCGAGAATATCAGGCATGGCATTTCGTCGGCCAGTCCTACCACTGGCAATAAATTCTTCGAGACTTAGTCCCCCTAGATCCATGTCTTCTGGACTGTTATTTGAAGAATTAGAAGCAGTCTGAAAATAGTCAACATATATAAACTTAAAAAACTGTCACACAAATAGCAAAATTACATTTATATGAAACAATCAGACAATGATATAAAAAAAATTAAGATGAATAGTCCTTATCAAGAATAAGAAGTATTCAATATTGACTTAGTAACAACATTCTAAAATTGTCTGGCATATGTGATGCTAGGACTAGCAATATACTGGTAGTAAATAAGACAGTTTAATGCCTGTGGTATATAAAACTGGCAACAAACTGGTTGCATAAAGGACTGCACTGCATGGTAATATGCTGGTGGCATACAGGACTGGCAATATACTGGTGGCATACAGGACTAGCAATAAACTGGTGGCAAACAAGACTGCAATAAACTGGTAGCAAACAAGACTGGCCATGAACTGGTGGCATACAGGACTGGCAAGAAACTGGTGGCATACAAGACTGCAATATACTGGTGGCATAAAGGTGTGGAAATGTACTGGTGGCATAAAGAACTGGAAAACAGGTGACATACAAGACTGGAAATATTCTGGTGGCATGAAGGACTGGAAATATTCTGGTGGCATGAAGGACTGGAAATATACTGGTGGCATGAAGGACTGGAGGAAATATACTGGCGGCATGAAGGAGAGGAGGAAAGATACTGGTGGCATGAAGGACTGGAGGAAATATTCTGGTGGCATGAAGGACTGGAAATATACTGGTGTCATGAAGGGCTGGAAATATACTGGTGGCATGAAGGACTGGAGGAAATATACTGGTGGCATGAAGGACAGGAGGAAAGATACTGGTGGCATGAAGGACTGGAGGAAATATTCTGGTGGCATGAAGGACTGGAAATATACTGGTGTCATGAAGGGCTGGAAATATACTGGTGGCATAAAGAACTGGAAAACAGGTGACATACAAGACTGGAAATATTCTGGTGGCATGAAGGACTTGAAATATTCTGGTGGCATGAAGGACTGGAAATATACTGGTGGCATGAAGGACTGGAGGAAATATACTGGTGGCATGAAGGACAGGAGGAAGATACTGGTGGCATGAAGGACTGGAGGAAATATACTGGTGGCATAAAGGACTGGGGGAAATATACTGGTGGCATAAAGGACTGGAGGAAATATACTGGTGGCATAAAGGACTGAAATATACTGGTGACATAAAGGACTGGAGGAAATATACTGGTGGCATAAAGGACTAGAAATATTCTGGTGGCATGAAGGACTGGAGGAAATATACTGGTGGCATAAAGGACTGAAATATACTGGTGGCATGAAGGACTGGAGGAAATATACTGGTGGCATAAAGGACTGGAAATATACTGGTGACATGAAGGACTGGAGGAAATATACTGGTGGCATAAAGGACTGGAAATGTACTGGTGGCATAAAGGACTGAAATATACTGGTGACAAAAAGGACTGGAAATGTACTGGTGGCATAAAGGACTGGAGGAAATAAACTGGTTGCATAAAGGACTGGAAATATACTGGTGCCCTAAAGGATTTAAAAGGATTAGAGGAAATAAACTGGTGGCATAAAGGACTGGAGGAAATGAACTGGTGGCATAAAGAACTGGAAATATACTGGTGGCATGAAGGACTGGAAATATTCTGGTGGCATGAAGGACTGGAGGAAATATACTGGTGGCATAAAGGACTGAAATATACTGGTGACAAAAAGGACTTGAAATGTACTGGTGGCATAAAGGACTAGCGGAAATAAACTGGTTGCATAAAGGACTGGAAATATACTGGTGCCCTAAAGGATTTAAAAGGATTAGAGGAAATAAACTGGTGGCATAAAGGACTGGAGGAAATGAACTGGTGGCATAAAGAACTGGAAATATACTGGTGGCATGAAGGACTGGAAATATATTGGTGGCATGAAGTACTGGAGGAAATATACTGGTGGCACAAAGGACGGGAAATATACAGGTGGCATGAAGGACTGAAGGAAATATACTGGTGGCATAAAGGACTGGAAATATACTGGTGGCATGAAGGACAGAAAATATATTTGTGACATGAAGGACTGGAGGAAATATACTGTTGGCATAAAGGACTGGAAATATACTGGTGGCATGAAGGACAGGAGGAAATATACTGGTGGCATGAAGGACTGGAGGAAATATACTGGTGGCATGAAGGACAGGAGGAAATATACTGGTGGCATAAAGGACTGAAATATACTGGTGGCATAAAGGACTGGAAATATACTGGTGGCATGAAGGACTGGAAATATACTGGTGGCATAAAGGACTAGAAATATACTGGTGGCATAAAGGACTGGAAATATACTGGTGGCATAAAGGACTGGAGGAAATATACTGGTGGCACAAAGGACTGAAATATACTGGTAGCATAAAGGACTGGAAATATACTGGTGGCATGAAGGACTGGAGGAAATATACTGAAGGCATAAAGGACTGGAAATATATTGGTGGCATGAAGGACTAGAGGAAATATGCTGGTGGCATAAAGGACTGAAATATACTGGTGGCATAAAGGACTGGTAATATACTGGTGGCATAAAGGACTGGAAATATACTGGTGGCATGAAGGACTGGAAATATGTTGGTGGCATGAGGGACTGGAGGAAATATACTGGTGGCATATTGAAGGACTGAAATATACTGGAGGCATAAAGGACTGGAGGAAATATACTGGTGGCATAAAGGACTGAAGTACACTGGTGACATAAAGGACTGGAAATATACTGGTGGCATAAAGGACTGGAAATATACTGGTGGCATAAAGGACTGGAGGAAATATACTGGTGGAATAAAGGACTGGAAATATACTGGTGGTATAAAGGACTGGAAATATACTGAAGGCATAAAAGACAGGAAATATACTGGTGGCATAAAGGACTGGAAATATACTGAAGGCATAAAAGACTGAAAATAAAGGACTGGAAATATACAGGTGGCATGAAGGACTGGAGGAAATATACTGGTGGCATAAAGGACTGAAATATACTGGTGGCATAAAGGACTTGAAATATACTGGTGTCATGAAGGACTGGAGGAAATATACTGGTGGCATAAAGGAATCGAAATATATACTGGTGGCATGAAGGACTGGAGGAAATATACTGGTGGCATAAAGGACTGGAAATATACTGGTGGCATAAAGGACTGGAAATATACTGGTGGCATAAAAGACTTGAAATATACTGGTGGCATAAAGGAATCGAAATATATACTGGTGGCATAAAGGACTGGAGGAAATATACTGGTGGCATAAAGGACTGGAAATATACTGGTGGCATAAAGGACTGGAGGAAATATACTGGTGGCATAAAGGACTAGAAAATATACTGGTGGCATGAAGGACTGGAGGAAATATACTGGTGGCATAAAGGACTGGAAATATACTGGTGGCATAAAGGACTGGAAATATACTGGTGGCATGAAGGACTGGAGGAAATATACTGGTGGCATGAAGGACAGGAGGAAAGATACTGGTGGCATGAAGGACTGGAGGAAATATACTGGTGGCATAAAGGACTGGAAATAATGTATACTGGTGGCATGAAGGACTGGAGGAAATATACTGGTAGCATAAAAGGACTAGAAATATACTGGTGGCATGAAGGACTGGAGAAAATTATCTGGTGGCATAAAGGACTGGAAATATACTGGTGGCATAAAGGACTGGAAATATACTTGTGACAAGAAGGACTGGAGGAAATGAACTGGTGGAATAAAGGACTGAAAATTTTCCTGGTGATGTATATCAAGTGAAAATATTTAGTTTAATGATTTCCCTAGAGTCAAATTATGAACTCAGAACAAATTTTGATGCAATGGTAATACACAGATTTGTTACAATAATGCAATAATCCATCAAAAGAATGCTTTACTTTTGAAAAAAAAAGGTTATTACTTTCAAAACTGCCTTTAAAATTTTGACTACACATCAGCAGGGTTGCAATTATATTTTTTCTGGGATGTTTTGTTTTAATTTTGAGGCGGTCATTTTAGGTTCTATCACAAGGTAGCCAAAAATATATTTAAGACAGTCATTTTGTTCTACAGCTGCCTCCTAATGACAACTCTGATATCATAATTATATGTTGTAGTTTTTTTAACAAAATATTTTTATATATAACAACTTTGAAATTCCGATTTAGTAAAGGAACCTATTTTGTAGTACAAGATCAATAAAGATACTGCAAATTTTATAATAATTGACATGTTGATATGTAATAGGAATCTTAATTTATGATTTATTAATTTCTTGAGCAATGCTAAAATTTCTCTCAGTATTTATTCAAGTTACAGAAAAGTAAAAAAAAAAAAAACTAGTACAGTCTATGAATTTAGCAGTTGCCTTTGGCAGTTGAGTGTAGGTAAAAAATTTCAAGTCACAAGTCAGAAAAATTAACAACTGATCACCTTATTTAAGTAACAGATAATCTCATTTTCTGATAACAGCTAGCAGTAGAACATGCAAGACTATTCTCACTGGAGATATTAACAACTTGCACAAAAAAAGTTAACCAAAGTGTGACACTGATGCAAGAGTGAGTACAATCAAGCACTCCCTGTTCTTTGAATAGTTGAGCTAAAAATAAAATGACTGAATTACAAATGGTACAATAAACTTATTCATTCTCAATCAATGAAATAAAACAACTATATTGACTTTACTAATCCCACTGTGAAAGTTTATAACATTTTGATCAATAAAATATACTAGCTGGCTTGATTGTGAGATAATGACATTTACCACTTGTCCAAATGGCTTCTGGATTTTCTGTTTAGATTTATATGAGACAGCAGCTAGAAGTCTTCCTGTTTTACTTGACTAATTCATGAGATATATGTCTTCATTTATCACAGAATTATCAAACATTTTATCATGTTAACAAATTGTATCAACTGTTAGTAGATGATATATTCCTCTACATAAAATCTCACACCCTTATCTCAGAAGTTTCTAAAGGAATTACACATTTCTTCTGCCATTTTCTATCAAACCATGGTAAAAAACATTCAT